CATGGCACTTGATGCCATTCAGATATAGAATTAATATGAATATTCGGTTTTCTGCAGCTCATCTTAAGTTTACTAAAAATCTTCATGATTAAATAATAAAGATATGACAAGTATTTAGATTTATGTGCCTTGAAAACCTATTCACTTTCAAAAAACAAAGTATTTAGATTACTAAAGTTATTAAAACTTATCTTGGCTCTAAATCCATCGATAAGTGACTCAATCACTATTTGAAAAATATTAGAGCCAAGAGCAGGATATGACTTTATTAGCTTCTACTTGCCCAGCCTAGTTGTTCTTAACAGTCTTAAAAATCCTCAAATTGTAAATTATGATGGTGCACGCTAGAGCTTAAATGGCAATCCTACATTAGCTGTTTCAGATAATTTTATATTTTTCCACCACAATGCGAAGCAGCAAGCCAATCATAAGCTACCATAATTTTTGTTAATATTTTAATATTTAGATAATTTGACGGACCCATATACATTGGAGAAGCCTTAGTACGCAACCAGAACCTTGACGTTTATAGATATTTTGGGATTAAGGCGAATTACTTATCCATCAAGTTTTAACGTTATAGAAGCCTTATTTTTACGGTTCTGCGAATCTGCATAATTTTATCCTCTAAAATGCCCTCTACAATTGCTTACTTTCCCTCGGCCCCCCTTCTCCTTCATTTATGCACCTAAACCAGATCACTACCAGCAAATTCGTTAACTATCTTCGGCCATTTTGCTTAGCTCACAGCCTGGCAAGCAATGTCAGCACATGCATCAGTCTACTTGTGAGCGAGACAATACCCTGGGCCGCCGCTGAGGTAGCTGGTATGTTACCGGTTGAGGCGACTGAATCAAAAGCACCAAAGCGGTTATTATCAGGTGGATTGGAGACAGTCACTGATCGTATCAGCTCCAATCAATACTTGAATGGTCAAATGACAGGGACCAGATTAACAACGTTATATGAAACGAAGGCTCTACTAGCTAAAGAAATAGGTAAATTTATGCATATTTGGTTTGGCCCACTTGCATTGGACCTTTAAAGAACATACTCTAGGCCATCAATTTAATAAGGCTTTTGAATCCCCTCCGATATGGATATCCCTACCTGCAAATCACAATGTATCAGTTTCCCTTAGCATTTTTAAAATATTCCATAAATTGTGTCTTGGTGCGATAATCGATCTAATTAAATATTGTATT